CAAAGAAATGGGGTTTGATTCTTTTGGGTCTTCAACATGCATCTGCCCTATGTGATTTTGATTCTTGCGCCTATTTATATCATCCAGTCCATTATCACCGTCCAGCCCATTAGCACCCTCAACAGGAATTATTGACTTTAAGTTTGATTCGTTGTGATCCTCCCCTGAAAAGCCTCCTTCTTTTAGGTGTTCTGACACTCGTACCAATTTCGTCTGTGACTGATCCACATCAATCTTTCCCTTATTTTTCAGCAGAAACTTCGGTGCAGTTACCAATAGGGCTAGGGCCTCATCCCCTCCAGTTTCTGATTCCGGCAATTCTCGACTGCCTTCCGGCGGTACATAGGTACCACTATTTTCCTTAGCAGACATTACCTTCGCACCAGGGGGATCACCTGGACCGGAGTTTGAGTTTGATTGTTTTCTTGGAAAATTTCTTTTTCCAAAGTCACCCGCTCGGATCCACGCACCATAAGGATATTTCATTAGTGAGCCCGTTTAGATGTTTGTCATGGATTGCTGGCATTCCTTATCATTCGAGTTTATTCACGTTAAATTCATGGTTCATGACCGAACTCAATACAGACAACTTCTCAATTTAATCAACATCTTCAGTACACGAGCACTTATGAAGATTTTTCTGCCATTATACACTGGTATAGTTGCTAGGAAATCTCATATCTTTCCACACGTGATCGTTCTTCATTTAACACCTTGAGATATGTTTTAACATCTATACTCTCAAGTTGCTTTTATAACTTATGTGACATAGTCGCAAGCATCACACTTGTCACAGTACTATCGTCATCACTATGTTTATTATAACAGCCACAGCTTCTTTTGTCGAGCCATCAACAATTGTCTCTGGAAAAGACTACTCAAGGACATAACCAATTTTCTCATGCTTGAGAACAATTCTCAAATTGTGGTGTCAATCAAGAAAATTTGATTTGGTTGTTAGCATTCAGTTGCCTTCCAAATGCATATGGTTACTCATGAATCAATAAATGTAAATGACGAAAAGTAAAAAAAATAATATATAGAATGCATCAATTAATTTAATTTGGTCTTTTATTAAATTAATTATGCTCCCACTTTTTAACTCAAATTTATAACAATTTCACATAAATTTATGGAATCCATACTTGACTCCCAATGGGCTGGGATCTCATTGTTATATTAAAACCTTAAGTGCATTTGTAACGCCCCCATTGTTATATTAAAACCTTAAGTGTATTTGTAACGCCCCAAAATTTCACAAACATTGGAGTGTTACAAAAAATTCAATTTTTTGCGGAATGATAAAATAATATTCTTTAAATAAAAAAAAACTGAAATATCCATAATGAAAACATAATTATAATTTAAATAATTTTCTTTAAACAAATTAAACTGACTAATAATTTAAAGGAAAAAATGAAACTTAATGTTTTATCTATTCGATTCATCTTGGCAGTCGCATCACCATCTCGCCATTGTTCCAATCGACCCGAACAAACCTGTAAAATTTTGTAAGAGTGAATATTTAAAAATATCCAATAAAATACGTGCACTTTCCATACACAATTACATCAGAATAAGATAAACTGTTCATCTTACTCTTCTCTTATGGAGTGTATCGGTGACCAAGCAACACACCCATCTTAGGTCATTTTAAATTTTCGAATGATCTCTTATCTCTTAATAAAGAACTCGAAGGTCCACGGCAATTCATGCATAAGTTATATAAAAGTATAAGGAAACAAACCACTTGCACAAAAATATATTATCTTGATTGATCAAATGAGCTTTTGAAAAAAAAAA